GGATTAAAGGTGTGCACCACTAGGCCTGGCTCTCTTTCATATTTTTAAGATTGATTCTTTTCTTAAATTTTAATTTTATGTGTGTGAGTGTTTTGCTTGTACATGTATATATGTGTGTATGTATGTATGTATGTACCACTTTTGTGCCTGTTGCCAGTGGAGGCCAAAAGAAGGCTTCATATCTCCTACAACTGGTTTACAGATGGTTGTGAACCACTGTGTGGGTGCTAGGAACTGAACCTAAGTCCTCTGCAAGCACTGCAGTACTCTTCATCCCTGATTCATTTCTCTAGCCCCAGGCCCTTATTCTTACACAGTAGGCACTTCTGAGTCAGCTCTCCAGCTCCCAACTACCCCAAAATCTTAATATAAAATTTATTACAGTTTCCACAGTTTTGGGCTGCATGTAATTTGAACAAATAAAACCTTATGAATGGCAAAAAGTTTACCAAATGGTCAGTTAAATGAGCTTGTACTTTTTTTTTTTTTTTTTTGTCTTTTTGAGATAGAGTCTCCCTATAGTTCCAACTGGTCTGGACCTCACTATGTAGACCAGGCTGGCCTTGAACTCATTAGAGATCCCCCTGTCTGTGCCTCCCAAGTGCTGGGATTAAAGGCGGGCCATGCCCCACTGAGTCTGCACTATTTAATTGGGTGATTGGTTACTTTTTACTTTAGAGAAAAGACCAGCTGGTGTTTAAATGTGCATATGTTTGGTTAGTCTGTAGGTAAGGAGATGCAGGAGTATCTCAGCAGTTATTGCTGGGATTATAGTCTTTCATCCAGACATGTTCTGGGTGAGATTATTGGTTGGCTGTCTAGTTCACATCATTTCAACCACAGCTATATGTTTTACATTTTGCTGCCAGAACTCTGACAAGCCTTGAAGACTAGGGCAAGGAAAAGAGGGCACTCACAGATGCTCGTGTACTTTTCCCGCCTTGACTTTGATGGTAAGATCTCACTGATTCCACCATTTGAAGAGTGACAGTATAAAATAGGTTCATATAATAGCTATTCCTAAATTCTGTTTTTGTATTGTGGTTGAAACTGATGGTTCCTAGGAAGCAGTTAAAATATTCCTTCTTACTGGTTAAAGAATGAAAAAGTCAGACCAGAAAAATCCAGTTGAGCAATAAATAAAGAAAACCCAAATTTACCAGTTCTGTGATTTCTTTGGCAAGTTGAGGTTAGGACCCTGGGTAGTACCAACAGCCATAATAGAGAAGAGAGAAGACCCAAGCCCCCCCTGCTGTTCTCACTGTTGGTTAGAACCGTCCTGATCGCCCCTCCTCTAAAAGACTTAAAATTTTAATTATGTATATATGTTTGTGTGTGGTTATGTATACATAAGTGTAGGTGCCTGAGGAAGGTAGAAGAGGGCGTCAGATTCCCTAGAGCTGGAGTTACAGTTGAGAGCCACCTGACATGGGCGTTTAGGATTGAACTCAGTGGTCCTCTGGAAGAGCAGTCAGTGTTCTTAACCACTAAGATGTCTCTTAAGCCCCTGATTCCATTTCTTTTTCTTTTCTTTTTTTCTTTTTTTGATCTTTTTGAGACAGGGTCTCCCTGTAGCCTCAGCTGTCCTGGAACTCCCAGAGATCTGCCTGCCTCTGCCTCCTGAGTGCTGGGACTAAAGGCGTGCACCACCATGCCCAACTCTGATTCCATTTCTTAAAGATAAGTAAATTCCCCCAAGTGATACTTGCACATCCATGTTTATTTACCGCACTATTAAAAAATATTTATTATTTTTTTTTATGTGTATGAGTGTATTGCTTGCATGTGTGTAAGTACATCTGTGTCGGGCAGTGCCCACACAGGTCAGAAGAAGGTATTGGATTCCCTTGGACCTGGAGTTATGGAAGGTTGTTAGCTGCCACGTAGGTGCTGGGAATCGAACCGAGGTCCTCCGCAAGAGCAGTCAGTGCTCTTAACCACTGTGCCATCTCTCTAGCCCCTATTTACTGCACTGTTAACAGTAACTTTGAAATGGAACCATGACAGATGTCCATCAACTGACAAATAGATGAAGATGAAGAAAATGTGATACATGCATACAATGACGTTTTATTCAGCCATAAGGAAAAAAAACCCTAGGGTGAAAGGGGCACGGGGGAGAGAGCCAGGTGAGTCAGCTCTCACAGGTGACACATTTTCTCTCACTTGTTAAACCTGGGTGTATGTGAGATAGAGAGACAAGATATCATGAGAGAGGAAGAAGAGATCTTAGAGGAGACTGGAAACAGAAGGGAATGGAGTATATGTGGCACACAGTTAGCAGTGGACACTCCAGGGGGAGGAAGGGAATCAGTCAGAGTGGGGGCAGAGGCCAGGACAAATTAGAACAAAGTAATGATACATATGGTATACAAGTTACCAAAATGAAACCCATTTCTTTGTATGATAACGCAAGAGTCACACTTTTAAAAAAGTATACAAAGACGGGCATGGTGGCACATGCCTTTAATCCCAGCACTCGGGCAGAAGTAGGTGGATCTCTATGAATTCAAGGCCAGCCTGGTCTACATAGTGAATTCCAGGCCAGCTGGGGCTACAGGGAGACCCTATCTCAAAAAGACCAAAAAAACAAAAAACCTCTTAACTGGCCTATACTTTTAACTCCAGCACTCCAGATGCAGAGGCAGAGGGAAGGAAGAGGCAGGCAACAGAGACAGAGAGAGCTGGGAGGGTGGCTGAGAGACTCTTCCAGTCAGTTTCCCTTTAACTGTAAGAATAGACTCTCTATGGGGCTGGAGAGTTGGCTTAGCGGTTAAGAGCACTGTCTGCTTTTGCAGAGGACCTGGGTTTAGGCAGTGGTACACATAAAGCTAAGTTCTCAAGTAGCATTTTAAAGAGTGTGTGTGCATGTGCCTGTGCCTGCAGCATGGCACCTGTGTGGAAGGCAGATAGCTTTGCAGAGTTGGTTTTCCCTTTCCACTGTTACGTAGCTTCTGCAGATTGAACTGGGGTCATTAGACTTGAGCATCAAGGTCCTTTGTTCCCTGAGCCATCTCTGCTGCCCGTCATGTAGACGTTCTGAAGAGTCACGTGTGTCATGGTGTGTGGTTGGTGATGAACTCAGATTTCTTTCATTTTGTATCTGTGCTGTCCCCTGGAATGTTGCCTCATTGCTGCCATTGCAGCTGGGTTTGTTTTTAGGTCCATTTCAGTTCATAGGAAAGAGAAACATAATTTACCCAAGAAGAAATCATCTCTTTAGGTGATGGAGGAATGGCCCAGCTGCTTCTCTTCATGCCATGCAGTTACCGTGCTTAGCTGCACAGAGGGTTGGGGAATGGATCTCTGGCTGAAGCAGATAAGTGCCCACTTAAAACTTGGAGAATGGCATGCATGGGATTTGTAGGGTTTTTTTTATAGGACTGTGTGTTTTACCTTGTCCATCTGTAGAGTTCTTGACATTCTAGATTTGTTTACCTTTTTGGAGTACATATACATTATTTGTTCATGATATCTTTTTTCACATAGAAACGTATGGTTTTAATGTAAAAATTACCTTTTGTCTCTTTGAATATATATATCTATGTGTATGTACTTCATAATTTAATACCAGATATTTTACATGATTTTTTTCCTCTAGGATATACAGGATACTTTTATTGATAGGCCCCATAAACAATGGCCAGTTTTTCCATTTTAAAAAAGGGACAGTGCTATTTTTTAACTGCATACCCAAACCATCTGTTGTTGCTTCATGTCATCATTAATTTTGACAGTATTTACAATTATTTGTAGGTGTTTTGTTGTTGTTGTTGTTGTTTTCTGAGGCAGCCCTGGCTGACCTGGATGGAGCTTGCTAAGCAGATCAGGTAGGCTTTGAATTCACAGAGATCTGTCCTCCAAGTGCTGGGACTTAAGGCTTGCACCACCAAATATAACTTATTTGTAATTTTTATGACTGCCCAATTAATAGTTTTTAGAATTACTCATTTTCCCCCAAATACGTTCATAAAAAATATTGAATTTCAGAGATACTCATAAAATTAGGGAAATAGGATTGAAGTGTTGGTATGAGAGGTAGGTGAGAGATGAAGTTTCATGTGAAATTTGTTGTTCATGATTCTAAGACAGATGTCTAGTGTTCAGTTAAAATATGATCCGGGATTGTTATGGATGAATTAATGCTGCATATGTAGATTTAAAGATTCTTATGCCCTGAGGAGTTCAATGAAACCTGGATGATAAGTTCTTCATACAGAGGGCTGTACTTTCTTTTACTTGGGAGTCAAAAGAAATCAGCTGAAATGACCATAGACCATTAGACATTTTTTTCCTCTCTGTCTCTCCCTCCTTCCTATGTAGGAAAGGTCTGAATAAATTGCCAATTAGAAAACAAAGATCTATTTAAGAGGATGGAATTGTGTCCTGAGCGTTGGGTAGAGGGCAGCGTCCTGAGCGTTGGGTAGAGGGCAGTGTGAAAAACAAGAGTGCACATCTTTTCATTTAAAGAGAACAGTGATGTTATGGGTGGAGAGTTTTCAAAAGCTTCACAGCAGTTAGGCTGGCTGCCTCCTGAGAAAGTCCATATAAAGTTTGGGTTAGAACCCTAAGGAGAATATTAGAAGTATTAGAAGGCAGCAGAGTCAAGAATAATCTTGTCAAACATTTAGCTTTTAGAACGGCAGGTAATCAGAATGTGTAATGACTGTTTCAAGGCAATAATTTCAAGTTTTAAAATATGAAGAAACTTAAAAAAAATGGAAATATATTTGTTTTATAGATCAACTGTTAAAATCCTGAAAGTAGGATTCTAAACACTTAGTAGTAGTGTGAAACTTCCAACAGTCTGTTGTATATGGGCACCAGTTTCACATTATTTTGATGATTTGCAGTAGCAGATTAAACTGACATTAATTATGTCCACAAACTTTCCTATATTGGTGAGGTATTATCATTTGTTTGATTCTTTTTCATTGCTGTGTATTTTCATTTTGTTTAAACACAAAGTGACTCTTGATGTCCTCTTGTTTACTGTGAAGCAGACATCAAAGAACAATCTGCGGAAGAGGATGCTGAAGCAGACGTGGACAGCAGCAAACAGCCAGTCCCAGCTCTTCAGCGGTCTGTGTCTGACGAATCTGCAAACTCCCTGGTCTCTGTTGGTGTAGAAGCCAAAATCAGGTTAGAAAACGAGAGAGCTGGATTGGAGTTTATTGGCAGAGAATAGGAGTAGCGCACTGACTAGAAAGAATGCAGGAAGGCAGGCACACCGTCTAGATGCAGCTTACCACTTAGTAGCTTTCAATTTGAGGATGACACACTGTGTGTCTTTGGCATAGAGGAAGTGTGGACTTCGGCAGTTACAGAGCAGGAGCATAGTAGAGAGTTGTTCTAATCACTCCAGGTAAGCACAGAGCACGAGCACTCTGAAGAAGTGACAGAGCATTTAACATAAGAAATAATTTCTGATACCTATACACTTAATATGCCTGTTTCTTTCCCTCTCTCCATTCTTTAAGAATTAAAGATGCATTCCCACATGCTCACAAAATAAATAAAAATGGAATATAAGATAAAGGGGGCGGGGAACTGGTGAGATGGCTGAATTCATAAGGTGCTTGCTAGCAAGCCTGTTGACCTGGATTTGATTTTCCAACAGCCACATGGCCAAAGGAGAGAACTAACTCCTGTGGGATATCCTCTGACTATGACGTGAGCATTCACACAGTAAATAAAGAAATAATGCAGTAGTTTTTTAAAAGAAACATGGGGCCCCAGATAGAAAAGGCCCCCAGAATGCTTTAGCCGTGTTCCCTTTGCTCTCACTTCTATCCAAAACGCCCCACTTCTGGGTTCTTGTTGAGAACTGACCCTTTTGTTCCCCACCCCCACCCCCCTAGTTGGTGGGCTCCCTCTGGCTGAAATTTCAAATTTCCTGTCCTTATTCTACCCAATCAGATTCCTGCTTTCATATGAATAAACATCCTACCAAGAGCACACATCCTGCCCTGTTCAATCTGAAAGGGGAAAGGGGAACTGTCCTGTCCCACTCCCTTCCCTATAGCCTTGACTTTCCAGGGGGGTAAATGATGCTCCAGCTTTATATCTCCTCCTCTTGAGAGGCATCTGCCTCTTTGCTGAGTGGAGTGTTGCTTTTCTTCAGTAAACCTTGTCTGTGTGCTGTAACTGCAAACAACAGCAACAACAAAGAATTCTTTACTTGGTGAAGCAGAGAACCCAAGAACAGACCCTAGCCAGCTTTACTATCATATAGTTCAGCTTTCAAGTCTTGTGTTTTGGGGGATCTGTTTAGAAGACTTGGCTAAATGAATAGTCTCATCCTCTTGAACTACTTTGTTTTGCTTTTGGCTCACTTCCTCATTTTAGTCTATGTTGAATCTTGTGAAGACTCTTCACCTTTGTATTGTTGAAGTTCAATATCTTGTATATTTTTGCCTTCCTTTAATCCCCAGGAAAGTGCATGCAGTCTGACATCTGTAAATCTTGCTGTGCCCTCATGAGCTAGGTACTTACATTTCTAGTGAGGCTGTGACACTTGTGTCTGTCTGGTTGGCATATCCATGTAGCAGTGTGTTAGACATCTCAACCACAGTGTGTCCCACACTACCCTACTTTGCCTCTACCTGTGCTCTAGATCTCCTTCTCCTTTTGGCTTCCACCTTTTAATAAATAATACCAATATTTACTTTGTTGCTTAGGAGTCCATGCTTGATATGTCTCTTCTCCATAGTTCATATTCAGTTAGCCACACGGCTTCCTACTGTCTTAATTTCACCCACCATCCTAGCTGAAGCTTTATCCTGAACAGACCACAGTCATTGTTTTAAGCTTTCTTTCTCATTTCCTTTACATAGTCTAATTCAGTTGGCAAAAATGAGTCTGAAATGTAAGTCAGGTCTGTTCTTTGCTGTCTTTAATGGCTGTTACATTTAAATGAGATATTTTAATTATGTCTATGATTTCAAGACCTTTCTGTTTCTGTATAACATGGTCTGGCCCTTGTTGTCACTAATGTTATTCATTGACTGTTCTAATGCTCCTGCACCCACTGATGACGTTTCTGTCTGCTTTTGAACTTGCTGTTTTGTGCGTCACGACTTACTTTTCAGAGTCCTCCCTAACCACCTGCTTATTACACTGGTCTTTGAATTCTCATATCTAACTCCATTGTGAATCTAGGTAAAGGTTATACAGGTATTTGTTATACTATAGCTCATTTTCCCCCGTTAGTTTTGGGAAGATTGAAAAAAAATATGTTAATTCAAAAAAATTTTAAGACAAGATCACATTATGTAGCCTAGGCTTGCCTCGAACTCACTGTCTAGACCAAGCTGGCCTGGAACTCAAGAGATATCCACTTGCTTCTGCTTCCTGAGCACAGGGATCACAGGCTTGTGCTAACACACCCAGCCAGGTTTGAATATTTTCAAAATAAAAGAGTAAAGCTTTTACAGGTTTCAGGTCATAAATCAGTTAAGTCTTTATCAAATTTGAGTTGAATTCTCCATTTGGTATGGGACAAAGCTCAGTTTTGCTGTCCAGTTTTCTAGCATTAATCATTGAAGAGAATGCCATTTCCTTATTGTGTGCCCTTGGCATGTTCGGCAAACATAGATTGATAATAAATGTGTAGGGTTATTTCTCAGATTTCTATCTTGTTTCATTGGTGATACATATTTTTATTGCAACACAATGCCTTTTTAAAATTATAATCACTATAATGTGTTTTGAAGTTAGAGAGTATGATGCCTCGAGCTTTATCCCCCTCCAGCCCCTTCCTGCCCTGCTACTGGGCCCCACTGTGTAGCCTGGACCTTGGGATCCTCCAGCTTTGGCTTCCTGAGTGCTAGGGTTACAGGCATGTGCTACTAGTCCTAGGTTTTAGGTTTATTTTTTTACAGTCAAGATTGTTTTTTCCTTCTTGTCTTTTTTTGTGACTTTAGAGAATATAAGGATTGCATTGAATCTGTAAGGTGGCCTTGGTTATTATGGATGGCTTTTGCAGGTTTTTTTTTTTTTTTCCCATTTCCTGATTATGGGATTTCTGTCCATTTATTTGTGTTTCTTCAGTTTCTTTCATTAGTGCTTATAGTTTCAAGTGTATATGTCTTTTACTTCCCTGGTTAATTTTAAGTATTTATTTAGTTGTTATTGTAAATGGGTTTATCTTCTAAACTTTCAAATATGAAATTTTTAATATATAGAAGCGTTACTGATTTTTGTATGTTGATTTTCTGTCCTGCAACTTGACTGATTTTTTTTTTTTTCCTTTTTCTTTTTCTTTTTAGTTCCAACAGATTTTTGGTAGGGACTTTAGGTTTTTTTTTTTGTGTGTGTGTGTGTGTCTTTTTGAAGCAGGGTCTCCCTGTAGCCCCAGCTGTCCTGGAACTCTCTGTGTAGACCAGGCTGGCCTTGAACTCAAAGAGATCGGCTTGCCCCTGCCTCCCAAGTGCTGGGACTACAGGCATGTGCTACCATGCCCAACTGACTTTAGGCTTTTATGTCTATATACACATAAGGTTGTGTCATCAGCAAATCAAGATAATGCTTGACCCCTGCTTGAGATGCTTTTACTTATTTCTGTGGAATAGTTACTTAGCTTAGGAGTTCTGGCATTGTGTTGCAGGAGCAGCAAGAGTCGCCATTTATTATTTCATTATCTTGTTGCCTGTGTAGTGCTCTCTAGTCCTTATTCTAGGCAGTTTATTTCCTTTTTTCTCTCAGAGATATTTTTAAGGAATTAGATTTCGTTACTTTTGGTCATTTTATTCTTAGCCTATTTCATTAATTTCTATTGTTTTCTTTTTTCTTTGAGTGTTTTCTGAGTGCCCTAGTTTACTTTTAACCTGCTTTTTACTGAAACCTTAGTTTATTAACATCTAATCCTTTAATTTCTGATTATTTCTGTCTTTGGTAGTAAGCCTGAGCCTTTTACAGCCGCACCAGTTCTCCGGGGCCTGTATTTATGTAAATTTAAAACTGTTTCTTTTTTTTTTTTTTTTTTCCAGTTAGAGCTTTAGCTACAACTTAAAGTTTTTATTGTATTTTATCATGATCATGTTCCACATACATTGATTTGCACCTTGACTAAAAGAGTCTTAGCAACATACTTTGTAGTTTCTAAATATTTGGAAGAATTTAAGTTATATATTTGTTACTCGTTTTGAGTTTACTACATTGTTGTCAGAGAATTCTGTCTGTATGACATTCATTTTTTTTTTTTTTTTTTTTTAATATTTCAGGTTTTCATGGCCTGGTATTGTCTACTTTTGGAATACTTTATTTTTAAAAATGAGGGTGTGGTTCGTATACACGTGTATGCATGCATTCTTGTATGTGTGCTGTGTATGTGAATGGATGTATCTGCATCTGTCTATTTGTCTGTTTATGTAGGCCAGAAATTAACATCAAGTGTCTTCCCTGATTTCCATTTTATTTACTAAGGCAGAGTTTCTCTCTGAACCCAAAGCTCACTTATGGGCAAATCTAGTTTGCTTGCCCTAGAGATCCCCTATGTCTGCCTCCCAAGTGCTGGGAATACAGATGGGCCACCATGTCTGTCTCGTTTTTACGTGGGTGCTGGACTGAACTCTGGTTCTCATATTTGAGTGACAAGTGCTTTACCCACTATGCAATTATCCCTACCCCTACCTTTGGAATATTTTAATATGATCGAAAAAGAAAGTGAAATCTTGGCTGTTGGTAGAACGGAATAGAGTGTCTCGAGAGCTTAGATTGTTTCTAGGCTCTGTTAATGCAAGCTAGCAATGAAAGTTCATGGGATAAATGCCATAGAAGTAATGCTGGGAGTGCTTAATGCCCAGGAAGGAAGATCATAGGGAGAATATGAAAAAGGAGCAGTTCCTTTAGGTTCCCCTAAGGTACTAAGTGGACATTCCTTAATGTGTATTGTCTTTTAACTTTTTAAAAAGTTCTTTTCCCCCTCCCTCCGTCCCTCCATCCCCCCGTCCCTCCGTCCGTCCGTCCCTCCCTCCCTCCCTCCCTCCCTAGTTAGGTTCTCACTATGTAGACCAGGTTGGCCTTGAACTTACAGAGATCCATCTACCTACCTCTGCCTCCTGAGGATTGGGACTAAAGGCATTTGTTACCATGCCCTGCCTTAATGGTTTCTTTCTAAAGTTAATAAACTTTACCTTTTAGAACCATTTTTTTAATTAAATTTTTTTTTGATTTATTTTATGTTTTTTTTTTTTTTTTGGTCTGCATAAGTGTAAGTGCCTGAAGGATGTGTCGGATTGTCCTGGAATTGGAGTTACTGACTATTGTTTTGCCACATGTGGGAACTCAATCCTATTCTGCAAGAGCAACCAGTGCTCTTATCCACAAAGCCATCTCTCCAGACCCTGGTTTTTATTTTTATTTTTTAAAATTTCAGCAAGTAGTACAGCATATTCCTGTTTCCACATTCTCCTCATCCCTGATAATGTATTAGTGTGGTGCGTTTGTCACAGTTGACATATCAGTATACATTATTTATAAACTGAAGTTCATTATTTGTCATAGTCATCATCTTCATCATCATCATCATCAACAACAGGGTCTCATCGTGTAGCCCCTGGAACTCGCTGTGTAGACCAGGCTGGCCTAGATCTCATAGAGATCTTGCCTGTCTCTTCTTCCTGCGTACTGGAATTAAAGGCATATGCCTGGTTTTAAACTGAAGTTCCTAGTTCACAGTAGGGCTCAGTCTTCATGGGGCACAGTTTTGTTGGTCCTGACAGACGCATGGTGTCATCAGTCTTTGCTATCTTCCTGTGAAATGGCGTCAAGCCATGAAGGCTTTTCCTTACTGTTCAACCCACCTAGTCCCCCAAGTTCTCAAATCCATCAACTACCAAACTAAGGAACTTATTAAAAAGCTTGCTTTATATTTCTCCATATATGTAGCTGTGTGGTACATATATCATATATAAGCAATGTTTATAAAATCGTTAAATATACAGAGCCCAACCATGTTGTTGTCAAATTTTATCCTCTTTTCCATCCTTTGTTTTACTGTCTTTGTTGTTTTTAATACTTGGATTTTCAGTAGTTTCCCCCCCTAAAATCCATATTCCTAATTACAGAAGTTGTTTGTTTTTTTTTCTTGGTTTTCTTTTGAGATGAGGTCTTTCTGCAGCCCCAACTAGCCTGAACCTCACTATGTAGACCAGGATGGCCTTGATTTACAGAGATCCGCCTGTCTCTGACTTCCAGGTACTGGAATTAAAGGCCTGTGCCACTTAGCTGGGCACACACCTGTTTTTGATTTGTTGATGGTTCACTCATTGGGTAAAGCACTTGCCATGCAAGTGTGAGGACCCAAGTTTTATTTCCCAGAGTTCACATCAAACTGGATGTGTTAGCACAAAATTCTACTCCCAGTATGGGGGAGATGGGAGGTGGAGACAGGAGAATCTCTGGAAGATTGTGGGCAGCTAGCCTGGCCATACACACAGGGGCGGGGGGCTGGTGGACAGGTGGCTGATGGATGGGTGAAGGAGAAAAGAAGATGAGAAATTCTGTAGGCAACAAGGTAGAAAGTGAGGACAAACATCCCAGGTTGTCTTCTGACTTCTATATGTGTTCTGTGGCAGACACATGCTAATCACACACGTACATACACACAGACACATATGCACAAGTCATGCTGGGTTTGGGTTATAGCTAAGTGCTACAGCATTTGCATATCACATGGGTGAAACTCTGGGTTTGATCCCCAGCACTAATAAGTAATGAATAATACGAATCAGTTTATAGGGGCTGGAAAGCTGCCTTAGTGGTTATGAGAGGCAGCGTAACCACTTGCAGAGGACCCAAGTTAATCCCAATTCTGGGTATCCTCTTTGTCTCCACAGACACCTGAGTACTCATGACAGACAGATGCTTAGATATAAAAAAATAAATCATGCTATAGAAGAGTAGATTTGAAAATATATAATTGTTATTTAATGTAGTTGTTCTCATGGTATAATCACAATATAGACTATGGAAAGTACTTTCAAAACATAATAGCTTAGACTAATGATATAATTTTAAAACTGAATTATCACATTGTCTGTTACTTATCGTCATTACATAAAGTTACTTTTTTCCTTCTGTCTTCCTCATTTTTCGTTTTTACTAGTGAACAGCTCTGTGCTTTTTGTTACTGTGGGGAGAAAAGTTCCTTAGGACAAGGAGACTTAAAACAATTCAGAGTAACACCTGGACTTACCTTAGCTTGGAAAAACCAATCTTGTAACAAGGATATGGATGAAAACAGCAGCAGGACCTATGAGAAAACGCAGAACTCAGCTCCACGGAAGCAAAGAGGACAGAGGAAGTAAGCAGTTTTTTATTTAAATTGTTGATGTATAAAGCTTATATGTAACTTACTTTCTTTGCAGTGTGATGACTTTACAGTGGGGTTGTTACTGTTGAACAGCGTTTGTGTTTTCCACAATCCTGCAGTGCTTTGTGTTTTACCACCAACCCAACAGGCAATCCTTTTCTCAGAACTGCTTCCTTACTTGAAAAAAGTTTGTTACAGGAATTAGTGTGATGACAAATGTTAACTTGTGGAAGAAAATTTGAAGGACATAATGTAAACTGGGAGGGTGTTTCTGGAATTTCTAGTGGAAAGAAGATGCACCATATCAAGGAAGTTCTTTCCTTCTCAACAGGCTTTTATTTGTTAGAATGTTGCATAATAGTGAACCCAGAATTCTTTGCCTCATTCATGTTGTTCACTCCATCCGTTCGTTCATTCATTCATTCATTCATTCACTCACTCACTCATTCATTCATTCATTCATTCATTCATTTTTCATTCTCAACTTACTAATGCATATATTTCAGAGAATGTTGAGCTAGCTTATAAACTCTTACAACATAGTTACCTTTCCTTCTTTACTTTCCTCTTTCCTTTTCCTGCTGTAGACGATACTATTAAAAATTTGTGTATAACTGTATATATATAGTTATATAGTTTTATATATAGTCTTTATTCATGGACACATCGTTGCTACCTAATTCTTGTGGAATGTGCTTTTAAAATACCTTTTACAGGTTGTGTATTATGGTCATCTTAATATGTGGACTTACTAGTTAAGGAATAGAAGTTCCTTCAGTTGAGAAAAGTTAAAATTAATTTAGCCTTGGGGGCTAGGATATGGTGTAGCAGTTAAAAGTGTTTACTTCTCTTGCAGAAGACTGGAGTTGATTCCCAGCACCCATGTCCCTTCTACCTCTAACACCTCTAGCTCCGCGGTGTCTGATGCCCTCTTCTGGCTTTCATGAGCAGTTTAAGGAAGCTTGGAAGCACTGTTTGTAGTCACATCTTCTGAGATTGAAGCTATGGGCCCTGTTTAAGAGCCTTGTTTTGTTATTAGTTGAGTGCTCACATGTTAGTGAAATGTGTCAGATGTTCAGCAGTCTTATAATGTCCATCAGCAATTAGCAAGCACAATGGACTTTGTTAGGCTGTACTTATATCTTGTGTTCTGACTTGAGTAATGTCAATTACAAAATATTTTTTCATGGAAAATGGGGTTGAGTTTCATTTACTTATTTTATGAGGTTTTTCATTAATTGTTAATGAAAACTTTATGAGCTCAGATAATTGTATAAAAATAGCTGTAGTTAGGCCAGTTGTGGTGGCGCACACCTTTAATCCCAGCACTCGGGAGGCAGAGGCAGGCGGATCTCTGTGAGTTAAAGGCCAGCCTGGTCTACATAGTGAGTTCCAGGACAGCTGGGGCTACAGGGAGACCCTGTCTCAAAAAAAAAAAAAAAAGCTGTAGTTTAATGAAAGTTGTTGTATACAATTAGTGCTTACCAAGTTTATTAAATAATAATACATGGTTCATTAATGTGTACTCAGAATGTTTGACAACCTTATAGTGGCAGATGTAATGGTGATTTTGAATATTTGCAAAATACAGTTACTAATGAAATATGAATAGCTAATTACTTTTTAAAAAATGTTTTTGTTTTGTTTTGTTTTGTTTTGTTTTGTTGAGACACGGTCTTACTATGTAGCCCTGGCTGGCCTGAAACTTGTTCTTTAGACTAGGACTCCAACCGGAGAGATCTGCCTATTTCTGCTTCCCCCTAGTGCTGTGATTAAAGGTGTGCACAACCATTCCTGGGTTTAATATTTTTTAACAAAAGTGTTTTATTTTATGTGAGTGAGTGTATTACCTGCATGTAAATGCACCCATGGAGGTCATAAGAGGACATTGGATCCCCTAGAACTGGAGTTACAGACAGTTGTTAGCTGCCATGTGGGTGTTGGGAATTGAACCCTGGTCCTCTGCAAGAACAGCTAGTGCTATTTTTTATTTGTTTATTTTTGGTCTTTTTTGTCTTTGAGACAGGGTTTCTATGTAGCTCCAGCTGGCCTAGAACTCACTGTGTAGACCAGGCTGGCCTCGATCGTAGACCAGGCTGGCCTCGATCTCACAGAGATCCATCTGCCTCCCAAGTGCTGGGATTAAAGGTGTGCACCATCATGCCTAGCCAAAAGTTGTGTGTGTGTGTGTGTGTGTGTGTGTCTTGACACAGGGTCTCCCTGCAACCCCAGCTGGCCTGGAACTCACTATGTAGACCAGGCTGGCCTGGAACTCAGAGAGATCTGCCTGCCTCTGCCTCCCAAAAGGCGTGTGCCACCACATCCAGCTTGAAAATAGTTTTTGTAGTGGTTTCCATCTTGTTGAGGTAAGTATGCATGGTCAGAGGTTCTTTTCCCGCTGGATTTTGCTTTACAGCCTGAGATGTGTGAGTGTTTCTCCTGGTTTCTCTGGATAATCATCCCTAAACTGGACTGCTGTTGTCCTTAGATTTGACATTGTGCACATACAAACCTCTCTCAAACCCAAAGGTTGTATTTGATTAAGCTTTTGGTTAGGAGCTGATTTGCAATAGGCTATTAAGTCATCCCATGGGATTTTACATTTCTCTTTTCCATTAAAATATGTTAAATAATAACTAGTGTTTAATGGATGAACTATTTATATCTCCCAATAAAATAACAGTGGTTAGTAATGAGGAGTACATTTGTAGAAATGGAGATTATAGGAAATAATTCATTATTTTTCTTTGGGCATTTTTGAAAATGAGAATTATGTATTTTTAAATTTTAAATATAAAAAAAATTACAGATTATTTTAATGTTTCAATATTTAAATGCACTTATTGAAATACATTAATAATTTTTTTCTTTCAATGATTGCAGGCATAAAAAATTTTAGTACCCTGGTGTTGATTTTCTTTTAATAGGATTTATGATAAATAACCAGCATACTTAAATGTAGTGAGTTGTAATCTATATTCAATAGTGATTTAATGCAGAATTTCATGAGCTTAAGTATATTAGGAGATTTAAATTTTAGTGATAGTCATCTTATTTCCCATATTTAAATCGAGCAAAATAATTGTCTATTTCTGAATGATCTAAAATAATAGCCAAGGCATTATTATTAGAGCTTGCAAGCCCCACATCTCCACCTGGACAACAAATCCTTCAACATTCTTTTAGCTATTAGTCCGCCTTTCATATTCCCTGTGACTTTACTGTTTCTTTTGCTTTGGTGTTTACATTTGATTTTTAAGGTCCAGCCTTAAATGCCACAGACCAGCTCTTAACGTTTGCCAGGGGGGCCATAGGAAAGCAACGGCTCAGGTTTTCACTTCCCTTGCCTCCCTTTTTACAGAGGCTTTTTATTTTCTCTGGAAAATAGCCTGTCTTTAAATAAAATTAGCTGTTCTCTCTCTGTGGCAATTCTCTGTTAAGATAAAGTACATTAAAATTCTCTCATGTTTTTTAAGTGTTTAAAAGTAAGGGCAGCCGGGCACGATGGCACCTGCTATTAATCCCAGCACTGGGGGGGCAGAGGCAGGCTGATCTCTGTGAGTTCAAGGCCAGCCTGGTCTACATAGCGAATCTGGGCCAGCTGGGGCTACACAAAGACCCTGTCTCAAAAAGACCAAAAAAAAAAAAAAAGTAACGGCAAAAGATTTTCATTTTATGTGTTAAAATATGTTTCCTGAATAGAATGTGTTAGTTCTTTAAAAAAATTATATTTAGGAACGGAAAAAATCAGTTGCAGTTGTACTTGTGATATTTCCTATGGCTTGGAGAGTCTTTGCTATTGCTTACATGAAATAATATGACACTCCAATATGTGACTAATAAGAAGAGACGAATTTTTATAAATTTAGTACTGTTTCGTACCTGACAATTAAAACTGATTGAACAAACTTTTATACTCAAATTGTTATAAAATGAAATGATTTTCTATTATTTTCACAGCCTTTTATCTTATTTAATTTCATTTCAGAGAACGATCTCCTCAGCAGAATGTAGTCTCTTGTGTAAATGTAAGCACTCAGACGTCTTCTGATGACCAGGCTGGTAAATTATGGGATGAACTCAGTCTGGTTGGCCTTCCAGATGCCATTGATGTCCAAGCCTTATTTGATCCCACAGGTAGGGTATGGTCTTCAGTAACAGCTTTCACTCCATTTGGAAGCATTTACATTTTGTTGCTTATTAAATGGTAAAATCTTTTAGTATAGAAATAGGATCATATTATAAACAGTATCGTTATTGAGTATGCTTGACTAGCCATTTAATTGTCTAATTATGCTAATTAAGTGTACACAGCACCAATACTGTGCTTGATGCTTTTATAAATAATCACATTTGCTGATACCAATGTTATGAATTGACAGTTGATCTAGGGAAAACTTTCAAAGGCTATGTGAAAATTTAGGGAGCATTGCAGGCTGGGAATTTTACCTGTGGGAGTAAAGTACAGAGGCCTTTGCTTTGGGGGTTTCCTCATTATAATGGCATAGCTGCTCATAGGCTATGTTGGGAATTCAAGTCTTTCTCTTGCTGTAGTCACACTGATGTTGGTAGTAGGTCAAGTGCTGTTTAATGGAGAATTTAGACAGATAGGTGCTCTTGCTTGGGACTGAAAGAAATAAAATTGTAGAGCCTGTTAATCTTTCATATCTCCTTGTCATCAGCTAAGTAGTAAATAATATCCTTTTCATTTTATATAAAGATGCTAAATAAAACATAGTGTTTAAAATAACTAAAAATGAATTTTGCTTGTGGAAGAAATCATCACTTTTTGTGTTTATCGGAATCACCCAGAAGCCTTGTTAAAGAGTATTGGGTTACAGCATAAGAGTTCTGATTTAGTGGGCCTTGGTTGTGCCCTATGATTCTGCATTCCTAAAATGTTGATACTGATGCTGCCACCACTGTCTGGCTCAGTTTGAGAAAGGCTACTTTAATGGCTTTGCAAATAGGATGTTATAGAGTTACATATCAGTTAATTTTTTAGTTTTGTCTTCATTAATTTGTTTTTTGTGTGTTCGTTTTTGTTTTTTGAGACAGTCTTGTACAGCTGGGCTAACCTGGAACTCACTGTATGGCCCAATCTGGTCTTGAACTGATCCACCCATCTCAGCTTCCTGAGTGCTGAGATTGCAGCCATGAACACCATGTATAGCTTGCGTTAATATTTTCAGTGTTCATTAAGTTGTTCCTTTTTCCACATTAGGCACTTGCTGGGCTCATCATCGATGTGTAGAATGGTCACTGGGAGTATGCCAATTGGAAGAACCCTTATTAGTGAACGTGGACAAAGCTGTTGTCTCAGGGAGCACAGAAGTGAGTAGAGAAATATTTTTAGATTTCATTTACTTATTTTTATATTATTTATTTAATTTTATGTGTCCTGAGTGTCTTGCCTGAAAGTATATCAGTACATCTATGTTGTGCAATACCTTTGGAGGTCCGAAGAGGACGTCAAATCCCCTAGAGCTGGAGGTATGGATGGTTATTAGCCGCCATGTGGGTACTGGGAACTGACCCTGGGCCCTCTGCAACAGCAGCAACTCACTGTGTAGACCAGGCTAGCCTTGAACTCAGAGATCTATGTGCCTCTGCCTCCCTTGGGCTGGGATTAAAGAAGTGCGGCATCACAGCCAGCTTTGTCTTGTTTTAATGTAGGCTCTCATGTACCCCAGGGTGATCTTAAGCTTAATATACAGTGGAGCATGACCTTGAAATTCTGATCCCTCTGCCTCTGCCTAAAATAGTTCACATTTAAATCAGAAATTATCATTTCTAGAAATGTGAATTACTAAGTACACTTACACATTCATGTGGTTGCTTTTGAAGATAAAGCTATTGTTAAAGATTTAAAATAATGCACAGGATTTTCATGCACAACATGGATGAAGCATGTTTAGTATTCAACATTGTTGAATATACTTTTTCAGCCCACTTGTCAGTTCAGATAATGTTTTTTAGTATTATCCCAAAGTAATATGAGCATGGTCTGTCATTTTTCAAATCTTTCCCTATTGGGTTCATGTCCTTTTAAATGATCATAAATAAATGCAGCAGTCACCTCCCATCTGTGAAGGCAGCAAACTGTGATGTGATCCTGCCTGTTATCTATAAATAAAATTGGGAGAAGTGACAGCTCTTCAAAAAGGAAATGAAAACTAGAAATTTTATGTGTTTTTAAGAAGTAGAATATAGGTTATTGTACTATTTGCTTTACTCAGATTATCACATAGCAAATGACCTAATTCATATCATTGAATAGTCAAGTCGGTGCAGGCCTGATGACACAGACCTGTAGTTCATTTCCTCAGGAGGCTAAGGTAGGAGGATAACAAATTCAAGGGTAGCTTGGCTGCAGACTGAGTTCAAGAGCACTCTGGGATCGTATGTGCAATTGCACTGTTGTGATCATCTATGACTTCTGGCTCTTACAGTCTTTCCTTCCCTTCTTCCACAATGATCTCTGAACCTTGGGAGAAGAGGGTGTGATACAGGTGTTTTAGTTAGGGCTGAGCACTCTGCAGCCCCTTGTTCTCTGCACATTGACCAGTTATGGGTCTCTGTTAATCACCCAAACAACTTTCTCTGATGAGAGCCGAGAGATTCATTAATCTCTGGGTCTAACTTAGTCATTAGGATGTGGTTTAATACTATGTCCATTTAGCTGAATATTAGTAGTAAACTCTCTTCTATAGCCTTTGACTGTCTAGCCACAAGTTCTTGACCTGATAACAGTGCCAGACACAGGCTCTATCTTGCTGAATGGGCCTTAAATCCAATGAGAAAGTGGTTGGTTATTCTCATAACATTTGTGCCACTATTGCACTAGTGTGCATGTCTTATAACGTCAGTTGTTATTGTAGCTTCCAAGGTCCACAGCTGGGTAAGATTGATGACTATAGCATGCACGAGACTGGCAAAAACCCAGGTCAGACAAAAATCCAGTAGGTAGAGTCTTAGCTTAGGAACTATTGGCAGTTGATTGCTGATGGGTGAGAGAGAGCCAGATTTCTTTAACGTTACGACTCTCAGGTTGATTAGGCTTCAGGAGATGGACTCAACACCCTAAAAAGCATTTGGGGAACACAAATTAAGATTCCATAGGCCTTAAAAAAATAATAGAGGGGCTGGAGAGATGGCTCAGCAGTTAAGAGCACTGACTGCTCTTGCAGAGGGACCCGGGTTCGATTCCCAGCACCCACATGGTGGCTATAAACTGCCCTTAATTTCAGTTCCAGGGGAATCTGACGCCCTCTTCTGACGTCCATGGCATTGCATGACACGGGTGTGCTCACATACATGCAGGCAATGCACCTATACACATAAAATTAAAAAAAAAAATTAGCGGACATGAGGTTGAGGGTAGAAATGGGAGAAGAGGTCTGAACATGATCAAATTACATTGTAAGTAATTCTTAAAAGAATCTATTTCAAAATTAAAAGTAAAAAAGGTGCTGGTATTAAAGTTCAATTGCAGAATGCTTCCCTAGTATACCGGAGTCCCTGGTTTTGACCCTCCGTCCCTACCTGCCCTTATGGAAAAAGAATCCGAGTGCTTGTTTTGGAAATTTGAAATTACATTTAATTGTGTATGTTATCAAAATTCCAGTAGTATGATGCATTGTAGATAATTGTTTAGCACAGACATAGATGGCTAGGTTATGACTGATGGCGAGCATCATCATCTCTGACAGTGAAAGAATCACAGGCAATGAATAAGGGTTAAAGTGAAACTTTTGGTATGCTAGAATGAGAAGATCAATATAAACTCATGGCCATCTCAAAAATTTTATTATTAGTGTGTGTGCATGTGTGTGGATTTGCATGCCATGTTGTACATGTGGTGGTCAGAGGACAACTTGGAGGAGTTGGTTTTCTTCTTCCATGTGGATCCCAAGGTGGCCAGGCCTGGGAGTAGATGTCCTTATGTATTAAAATGGATTTTTGTGCTTTGTGTGGCATAGAGATCCAATTTCAAGTTTTCACATGTGGAGAGCCAGTTGTTTACTAGACATTTTACTGAAGTAAGGCATCAAACTTCTAATGCAGTAAATGTTCACTTATGAATGGATTTCTTCAGGTTATTTATTTTATTTTATGTGTATGAGTGTATTACTTGCATGTATGTAAGTGCTCCCATGTTGTGCAATGCCTGTGGAGGTCAGAAGAGGGCGTCGGATCCCCTGGAACTGGTGTTATGTACAGTTGTTAGCCACCATGTGGCTGCTGGGATTTGAACCCCAGTCTTTTGCAAGAGCAGCTAGTGCTCTTAATTGCTGAGGTGTCTCTCCAGCCACTCTTCAGGTTATTTTATATTTGTATACTTTGATGTGCCTGCGATAATGTCATTCTGTCTGTCTTGTCACTGTAGCTAGCTGTTTTTAAAAAAATCTTTTGAGACAGGGTCTCCTTGTAGCCCCAGCTGGCCTGAAACTTGCTGTGTAGACCAGGCTGGCCTTGATCTCACAGAGATCTGCCTGCCTCTGCCTCCCAGGGATTGGGAATAAAGGTGTGCTCCACTATGCCTAGCTTTTGTCACTAGCTTTATGCTAAGTCCTGATGGTAGTGTATTACTTCCACGTAAACCAGGAAGTAGATTAGTCCTCCACTGATAATCATTAAAATAGCTGCATCCAGTTTGTTTGTTTGTTTGTTTGTTTGTTTTTCCAGAAAAATATTTAAAACAAAATTAACGTGTAAGGAGTTGTAGAGAAGTAAGACGGATCTTAACTAGTTGGCAGTTCTTCAGTACATTAGAAAATAAACCAAACAACCTGAGAGATTAGGTCCAGAGTGCTCAAAAGGCATGTGGGCAGTCTAAGGAGTTGGGAAGACAGAGTATTTCCAGTCTGTTACGTACCAGACGTTGTAAAAATTTTAAAGTAGAATATTTAAAGAATTTTGTTTTACTTATTTATAGTGTGTGTATAGGGGTGGAGGGAGGTGCAGAGGTCAAAAGACAACTTGTAGAGTTGATTCTCTCCACCACAGGAAGTCTGGAGATTGAACTTAAGTGGCCATACTTGGCAAGTGCTGAGCCGGCTGACTGGCTCTCTACAAGACTTTTATTTGGGACCCCAGAGGCTGTAGCCAGAGTTAGCAAATCATGACTTTCGGCTAAGTGCTGTCCTTTGTGTTTATGCACTCCACTAGCTACTGATGTTAGTATCTAAATGTTAGTTTCTAAAAATAAAATTTGGGGTAACAGAGCCAACTTCTCATATTATCAGAGATTTGTGGGTTTGTGTTGCCGAATTCCTGCTCAGTTTTTTTCCTTGACTTTTTTTTTTTTTTTTTTTTTTGGTCTTCTTTTTGAGATAGGATCTCCCTGTAGTCCCTGTTGGCCTGGAACTCTCCACATAGACCAGGCTGACCTGGATCTCACAGAGTTCCACCTGCCCCTGCCTGCCGAATGCTGGGATTAAAGTTGTGCTCCACCATGCCTGGGTACCTTGACGGTTTTTCCAAAACTAATGCCAGTCAGAGTGAAACAACAAAAGGGAGACTTGAATTTTGTGCCGTGCTGTTTGTGTGGTGTTGTGGGGTATGTTTCATTTTTATCACAGTGGACTGCAAAGCCTTGTACTTACACTGCAAATGTTATAGTGGCACTAAAATACATTGCGCATAAAAACACCATTTTGAATACTCCTTAATATTTTCATCTTTCAGGAATGTAGCAGTGAGAAGGAATAGTAAATTAAAGCAAGTTATCACCATGGCATAGAATTCCTTCACGAAAATGAAAATAGGCCTATGTCACAGAAAACTTCTTAATGGCTCAGTCGTTGGCCAGACAAGGAAATTCTTTTATCTGTGGCAATGTAATGAAATTATGTTGGTATGGCAACTGAAAATATATATCCACAAAAAGTAAACCTGTTTAACATTCTGTTAGCTTTTCAGTGAGAGTAGTAGCTTTAGAAGTTACCTAGGTAGGTAGGTCATCAGCAGTCATTTAAAACAGAGGAGATGATTTCTAGGAGTTTTAGACTTCTGAGGAGTCAGTGGAAGTTACCAGTACTCTTTTAAGTTGTTACTTATTACTGCAGCTTGAGGTAGATGTGGGATTTGTTTTTATGAATAACATGTTAAATAACAATAAGTGGGTATTTTCAGAAAAATCGAGAAAAGAAGAATTCAGTATGCACTGAAGGATATTTTCTGCTAAGATGTGTTACAACTGGCACTAGCAGAAAATACATATGTGCATAGAACTGCCAAAGAAAATTGGTTAGTAAAAAGAGAAAATTTCATAATGAAACATCCCTCCACCACCACCAAAGGAGTAAGGTCTCCGTTCCCCATAAATGTGT